TGATAACTTGAAAGTAAGAAGATCCATTAATTCCCGTTTAGTATTTATTATATGCTTTGTTATCTTCTTTATAAAGTGGTCAAACATTGACAATAGCCATATCCAGGAAATAAAAAAAAAAACTCAAATAATTTTTTTTGATCTAATGTGTAATCCATAGTAGACCAGTAAACCATCTACTAAATCTACACCTCCTATATATATATATATATATATATATATATATATATATATATATATATATATATATATATATAGATACAATATTAGGGCAGGTTGCATAACAGATTTGTTATGCAACCATTTTATAGCTTTGAGATCAACACCACTTAATTATGGTTTGCTTTTTTTCAATCTAACCTCTTCCATTTTTTTCATTTCCTGATCTGACGCAAAAATAAAACCAGGAAATCACTTTATTTGAATTATACCTTAACCAAAGATACTTTATACAGCTAATCGAATAATTCTGGTGAAGAAAACCAATTATCACAAACTTCTAGAAAAGTTTTAATAAGTGGGACATATTGGACCATTTTGAGGACTACATTGGAGCTGCTACCGATGTCAGGAAAACTGGGGTTGTGTTTTGATTTCCCAGTAAATTATGAATAAGATCATTGTCGTCACATAAAACATAAATTTTGTAGCCCTATTTATGAGGCTTTTTGGGGTTATATTGACGCAAATAGACTCTCCCTTGAATAGCACAATTTATTCATCTATACATAAAAATTGTTACATGGGTATAGCTCTTAAATTTTGAAATAGAGATTCCATCAAAGGCCTTTGAAAAGAGTGTCTATGTTATTTTGGTCAATGTTTAAATTGCCATTCATGTATATATGTTCATCTTTGTCTGTTGAAATCTGTTCCTGCTCATAATATCAGTAACTTCAGCTACTCTAGTTGCTTATGCCCAGTACATGTGAGTTCGAGGTAAACGAAATATAAAAACATATGCCTGTGAACTGCTCCATTTCTGTCACAGTTATTATGGTTTTTCTGGATTTGCGTATAAATTTAATTTTTTTACAAGTTTTTGTATCATATCACTATCAAACATTTCTTTAAAATAAATAATTGGTGTGTCATCACCAAAAAGGTATCCGTCTAATAGTATCTTTATTTCTTATTTCCCTCCAGTCTTGAACATTTTGTTTTTTTTTTGTCTCTTCTTTTAAACTATCATCAACCTCATCCTCACTCTCTGCACACTGATTGCTAGAGCTAAGAATATATGCAAAACGCCTTATTTTGCATATGTTGCATATATATACAATTTTTGATTTTGAATGCATATATTGACATTTTGTTAATTTTTTGGCATATATCTGACGTACTAATTGGCTGGACATATTAAAATTATGAGTTTTGGACCAAACTAATATTTTGTGAAATGCCTTTACAGGTCGATTTCCTAAAATTTTGAAGGATTAACTTTTCCCTGTAATAAATTATGGTTAATGGTGTAGATACTTGAGAGGATTAAATTATAAACACCCTCCTTAAACCAACAAATTTTGCTAAATATCCTTTCAGGTAGTTGTATTAATATCTTCAAATTTCTAAATGACTCAGTTTACTTTCAACTTCATTTCAGTCTTTATTGTTGTGTTGTGTTAACCAGTGGGAAAAATGGCAAAATTAATTGAGTCGTGGGTAAAATCTTATTCAGATTTTGTTGTAGAAGGTGATAACCAGGTGTTTTGTAAAACATGTTCTAAAATTATAAGTACTTTTTTATTTTATATTTTATTTTGACCTTTCACAATGGTAAATCAAACGACAATAAAATATTATTTCAACTCACAGTTAAAAAAAAAGTAGGGCAACTCTACAACGTACGCATTTATTTAATTTAATTAAAACTTCAACATCTACAGGAATTTATTTGTTTTAGATTCCATGTAAAAAAGTTTCAAATCGACCAACAGGCGAAAACACCCTCACATATAGCAAAGCAGAAATCTAAAGACACTCGCAGACAAAGTCAACTTCCCTTGAAACAATATTTAGAATCTGGATCGTCTAGAAGTGAACAAGCTATTTTTAATGAAGATTTATGCAAAGCTTTAGTGACTTCGAATATCCCTTTAATACGATTAAATAATCCAAATCTCCGATCATTTTTGCAAAAATACTGTAAATTTAATATTCCAGAGCAAAGTATATTACGCAAACGTGGTGTTGACAGTTTGTACATTGAGACTCGTGAAAAAATTCGTCAGATTACCGTTGGAAACCATTTCTACATTATTGTGGATGAAACAAGAGACTCTAGTGGTCGATATATAGCCCATTTAATGATAGGTTCATTACGCGAAGAAATGCAAATTGGTCCATATCTAATCGCTTCAAGGCAATTAGATAAAACAAATAACTTGACAATAACTCGTTTTATCCAGACAGGATTGTCTTCCTTTTTTCTTCCGGAAGCCCTTCCAACAGAAAAATGTTTATTGCTGTTAACCGATGCTGCCCCGTACATGGTAAAAGCCGCACAAAATTTAAAAATGTTTTATGAAAACTTAATCCATGTTACATGTTTGGCTCATGGCCTTAACAGAGTTGCAGAAGAAATTAGGTCTAACTTTCCTTTAATAAATGATTTAATTAGTATTGTAAAAAAAATATTTCTTAAAGATCCTCTAAGAACTCAATTGTACAAAGAAAAAATTCCTGAATTACAAATGCCACCGAAACCTGTGATTACTCGGTGAGGTACCTGGCTTAAAGCTGCCTTTTTTACGCAGATAATTATGAAAAAATTAAAGAAATCATATTTGATTTTGATGATTCATCTAAGGGAATATCTAATGCAAAGAAGTTGATTCAAAATCACATATTACCGAAGCAATTAGTGTTTTTAAAAAATTATGCATTTGTACCCAAAATTATGTTAGATTTAGAACAAAAAAATTTACCTTTGGTGACTTCCGTAAATTTAATTAAGACGTTTGAATCAGAGTGTAAAAATGTCCAGGGCGATATTGGAAAGACGATTTTTCATAAATTTTCAAATGTAATTTTAAAAAATGAAGGATTTATTGTTTTAAGAAACCTTGCTAATATTTATTCTGGTAACTTTGACGATATTAATACTATTCATCCAGATGTTTCAGGAAAATTTAAGTTTGCACCTATTACTTCTGTAGATGTCGAAAGGAGTTTTTCTTTGTACAAGTACATACTTACTGATAGGAGACAATCATTTAATACAGATAATTTAGAAAAACATCTAATTGTTCATTCGTTTTATAATAATGTTGATTTGTAAATAAAATTAGTTAATAATTAAATAATTATTAAGTATTAAATTAGGTATTGTAAAATAAAACAAATAATAAATATTAATAAACTATTTCGATCAAATAACAAATTACTCTTATTGCATATGTTCTGCATATTTTTCAATTTTTTACGCATATATTGAAGTATATGCGCATATTCAACTATTTTTTGGGTGCATATATTCCTAGGTCTACTGATTGCTGTGCTGAATAAAACAGGTTCTAGATAAAAATCTGAATCGCCATCACTGTTTAAGAACTGTCATCGCTGTCACTTGGTGATACAAAAATATTAGTTGTTTCATTGCGATTTTTCTGAAAAAAAATTTAAATTTGTATTATTTTATAAGAACAAGAAAAAAATAAAGCTCCATATTTTTTACCTGTCTTTCTGAAACAACGATCCACTCTTTCAAAGGTTTTTTTATCAGAAATGTTTCGATTTGGAAATCATTCTCTTTATAAAGCCTTCTGGCTTCTTGAGCATTACAAGATGCAAGCCCATACATCAAAATTAGATCATGTCAGCACATTCATTAAACATAAATTCCATTACTACTTTATTAATTAATAAAAAGAAAGAAGATCGCAAATATCAACACACTATTGTCACATTCTAAAAACATAAAAATAACGTTCTTAGTATATTTATAAAACATTAAGGTTATGTGAGTATCTAAATATATTCATTTCGTAACTTTATAAAATATAAAGTGTTTCAAGACCCTAATATAGATATTCTTTAAGCTTTTCCGTATATCTAATGTGATATACAAGAGAGGTTTTGTATGCAGGAGCATATTCTTTACATGACAGATTCATATAATGGGCCGTGACCCGCAGTGCTGCTCTTTGTTTTTGCTCGTGGAATTTCAATTGTTTTCTGTACATCATTATTGCGAACATTCTGGCGTTTGTCCAATTTTTCCCAATAGAGCGGATAATGTTAACTGAAAATTACAAAAATGCGTCTAAATGGATTTGATTTATCGTTAGTACAAATATATACAGGGTATCATTTAAATGTAGACTAGCTAGTAAATTTGTTATCTATTTTTACATTTTTTTTACATTTTTAAAAATCATACGTGTGTATCACGTAGAATACCTCCAGTTCAACGAAATTAGGTATATATTGAACTAAAAGTTTACAAAGTATCAAAATTTATTAAAATTTTAAAAAATTGCAACAAAATTATGTCTAAATCATCAATCTACTCTGATAGTTTTCTGATTTTCTTTACATACATTGTCAGTCAAATAAAAAAAAAACCACTAGTAATTACTGGTACCTAGCTGGAAACTGGAGGAAGTACAAAGTTACTAGAGGAAGAAAAGCAAATGTAACTTGATTAAATTTTCCTAGAATACATCGTAGTTTTTTTGATTAAAAATGAAAAATGTACATCCCATTTAAGATGGTTATCTAGCATTATTACTAAATATTTTATTTCTTTTCCGCCACTAATCTTAGTGAATTGAAATTAGAAGCATATGATACATAACTGGTAAACGGTAAGTCCAAGGTTTTTGAATAATTGATTAACAGTAAGCGATTATCGAACCATTTCTTAACTTTTGTAATACTCTGTTCTGTTAGGGCAAATTTCATAATCAAATTAAAGGAAACTTCAATATTAAAAGGACACCTTAAATTTATTAAAAAAGTACACTTTAACGTTTCGTTTAACTAAATATCATATTCTGCTCCTTTAGAAGCTTTAAAGCGTGCTGATAACGCTTGAAAGTTTTTCGTTTTGATTGAGAATTTTTTATGACATCGCGTCAGTTGTTTGGTTTAATATGATGTGAGTATACAAACAAATATTATAACTTTATTTTGAAATTGTTGAATTTTGATTTTTACTGTTCAACAGTTGTCGTCACTTGATTTATAGCATTGAAACGTAAAGTCAGTAATTTCCAAGCTCTATTTTGAAAAAGATTTTCATATTTATTATGATAAAAATAGTATTCTAGCTATACAAACCTTTTCAACATTGTTAATTTTATCTGTTGTGAAATACTATAAAATATACTGAAACAATTTTGCTTTTAAATAACTGATCTAAACTTTTATTTTTCCCAGAGAAATCCTTTTTCACAATAGGACACATTGACATATACTATAATTTCGGAAATCCCAAACTAAAATTTAAAATGGATTGAAAGCAATCATTTATAATTATATATAAGTACTCTGAGGTTCGTACTTTCGATAAATGGGTTCTCACAATTGTTAATAGGATTACTTATAGACCCTGCTTCCTGTGTTCTACATTGCAGATATTAATTCCTAGAATAATTAAATTTAAAAACTCTTTCTTTGTTAAAAATGTTTATTCATAATGAGTATGATGACGTTGAATTATTACAAGTAGAGAATATATTCTCAGATTATTTTAATAAAAATAAAATTGTATGTATGCATGCATGTTTATTATTCTCTTGGTGGTGTTTTGAATGGAACATACACAATAAAGTGTGTTTTGAATGGAACATCCAAAATAAAGTACATATGAACCGAAACAGTTAAATTTTTAAATTCCAACCCTTTATACAGCTTTCTTCCAAAAACCCGCTTACATGCGATTCTATTACTGTCTTTGGTAAAACCGAACCAAAAGCCTGTTTCCTCGTTTTCTATTATACATTCATCATTTTGTATTTTAGTACAAGCAAAAATTGTAGTTTTAGTTGCTCTGCTTTTGATGTTGAAACAGCTGGTAGAAAAATTTGAGGTTAAATATTCTATCACGTCATTCTTGTCAGTTGTAATTGATAAAACATTGGAGTGTTGCCTGAAACATTGAATTCTATAGTAATCGTCTTGTTTGTAGTAAACTTTTACGCAATATCCATCTTCTATTTTTCCTAAAAGAGTAAAGAAATGTCGAATTAACTTTTTTATGACAAAAACAGATACAGGTTGCTTTATTGTTTTACTATTTTACTGTTTTACCGTTTTACCTTTTTACCGTTTTACCGTTTTACCGTTTTACCGTTTTACCGTTTTACCGTTTTACCGTTTTACCGTTTTACCGTTTTACCGTTTTACCGTTTTACCGTTTTACCGTTTTACCGTTTTACCGTTTTACCGTTTTACCGTTTTACCGTTTTACCGTTTTACCGTTTTACCGTTTTAATGTTTTACTGTTTTACTGTTTTACTGTTTTACTGTTTTACTGTTTTACTGTTTTACTGTTTTACTGTTTTACTGTTTTACTGTTTTACTGTTTTACTGTTTTACTGTTTTACTGTTTTACTGTTTTACTGTTTTACTGTTTTACTGTTTTACTGTTTTACTGTTTTACTGTTTTACTGTTTTACTGTTTTACTGTTTTACTGTTTTACTGTTTTACTGTTTTACTGTTTTACTGTTTTACTGTTTTACTGTTTTACTGTTTTACTGTTTTACTGTTTTACTGTTTTACTGTTTTACTGTTTTACTGTTTTACTGTTTTACTGTTTTACTGTTTTACTGTTTTACTGTTTTACTGTTTTACTGTTTTACTGTTTTACTGTTTTACTGTTTTACTGTTTTACTGTTTTACTGTTTTACTGTTTTACTGTTTTACTGTTTTACTGTTTTACTGTTTTACTGTTTTACTGTTTTACTGTTTTACTGTTTTACTGTTTTACTGTTTTACTGTTTTACTGTTTTACTGTTTTACTGTTTTACTGTTTTACTGTTTTACTGTTTTACTGTTTTACTGTTTTACTGTTTTACTGTTTTACTGTTTTACTGTTTTACTGTTTTACTGTTTTACTGTTTTACTGTTTTACTGTTTTACTGTTTTACTGTTTTACTGTTTTACTGTTTTACTGTTTTACTGTTTTACTGTTTTACTGTTTTACTGTTTTACTGTTTTACTGTTTTACTGTTTTACTGTTTTACTGTTTTACTGTTTTACTGTTTTACTGTTTTACTGTTTTACTGTTTTACTGTTTTACTGTTTTACTGTTTTACTGTTTTACTGTTTTACTGTTTTACTGTTTTACTGTTTTACTGTTTTACTGTTTTACTGTTTTACTGTTTTACTGTTTAAAGTCCAACCAAAAGACGAATATGAATTTTAAGCATAAAATATGGCAAAATTGACTTTTCACTATCAAGAATCTGCTAAATTTGACACTGAATCTGCTAAATCATATGTTTATTAACAAAAATTCCTTACAATAACACTTTCTGTCGCTTGTGTTGCACTAGTATAGGTAAGACGCAACCGATAGCCAACTAAATAGGGTTATCGTATAGAGGCGAATTTTCATCCATTTCTTTCACCGACCTTGTTATTAAACTGGATGGCTATATGACATAATAATAAAAATAATAATAATAATCTTTATTTGCATCAATTATTACAATTAAACTTAAAATTTAATATTTTAATTTTTCCAAAAATACAAAATTGACACAAACAAAGAAAACAATTCCTGCAAAGCCAAAGCTGTCTATGGGCTGGGTTTATTTGTTTATTTAATTTTTATTTATTTAAGTGCATTTTACTAACATTTTATATTTCCACAAAATTTTAAAATATCTTTCCTTGGTATATTTATTAAAAAGGATTTAAAATAAAATACCGAATAAGTTAAGAAACATTTTCTTTGGTAAAAAATTTAAAAATCTAAGTCCCAAAAACATACTTTTATGCCCTGTTGTTTTTTTGGCAATTGGTATCATTAATTTTCCGAAATCCTTACTTTTAGTTTTATGACAATGGCACATGTATTTTAAATCCAAGAAATATTTTTCTTTAGTTAATAAATATATCCCCCTTAAGAAAAATATTTTCCTTAAGTCTAGGATCTCTGCCTCTTTATAAAGAGCATTCGAAGAGTAAGTTTTATTTTTCTGAAGTATTATTTTTAAAAATAATTTTTGGACTACTTCTAGCTTTTTTAGATGAGTATATGTTACTCCTCCCCATCCTACAATTCCATAGGAGAGGCGGGAATCAACCAATGTATAGTATAGTATTTTAAGAAGAGGTAAGTCCAAAATTTTTGTTAAAAATTTGAATAGGTAGAATAGGTAGAAACATAGTTTTATCGAAGTCTATTACAATAAACCAATCTTTAATATTACTTATGTCTTTTTAAATTTTTTGTTTCAGATAATTCCAGGTGTTTGCAGTATAAAAGATGACAGTATCATCAGCAAAGCTTGTTATCTCTCCAGAAGTTATAAGTGTAAGTATATTATTAATGTATATTGTAAAGAGAATGGGACCAAAAATTGCCCCTTGAAGAGCGCCACATTGAACAATCCTTTCTGAGCTTATACTATTATCTATTTTAACACATTGTTTTCTTCCTATTAGATAAGAGTCAAACAGTTTTTGTGCAACTCCTCGTATTCCCACAATCTGCAAAGAATCCAACAGCTGCGAGTTATCCACAGTATCGAACGCCTTTGCAAGATCGAGAAATGGCCGGACAGCTGCAGTCAACAGCCTTATATAATTTTGTTTTTGTCTATTATTGCATGTTCTGTAGAAATACCTGTAAGAAACCCAAATTGTTTTTTAGAAATATTATTATTGTTTCAAAATGATTGTAATCTTATCTTTATTACTTCTTCAAACATTTTTGAGAAATTGTTTATTATATGACGTTGAATTATTACAAGTAGAAAATATATTCTCAGATTATTTTAATAAAAATAAAATTGTATGTATGCATGCATGTTTATTATTCTCTTGGTGGTGTTTTGGGTGGAACATACACAATACTATAGTAAGGCTTCGAATACATATTGACCGAAACAGTTAAATTTTTAAATTCCAACCCTTTATACAGGTCTCTTCCAAAAACCCGCTTGCATGGGATTCTATTACTGTCTTCGGTAAAACCGAACCAAAAGCCTGTTTCCTCGTTTTCTAATATACATTCATCATTTTGTGTTCTAGTACAAGCGAAAATTGTATTTTTAGTTGCTCTGCTTTTGATGTTGAAACAGTTGCCATAAAAAGAGGTTAAATATTCTATCACGTCATTCTTGTCAGTTGTAATTGATAAAACATTGGAGTGTGGCCTGAAACATTGGATTCTGTAGTAATCGTCTTGTTTGTAGTAAACTTTTACGCAATGTCCATCTCCTATTTTTCCTAAAAGAGTAAAGAAATGTCGAATTAACTTTTTTATGACAAAAACAGATACAGGTTAAGAAAAAACTTATACGAACCATACGGTATGGTTACTCATATCACGTCGGAAAGCATCGTCATCGAATCGGACAACAGATACAATAACTGACAAAACATTATTTAATCTAGTCATCAGTGTTGACCAGCGTATTATAGCAAGTTTTTTTATATAATTTACAGGTAACATTCCACCAAGAATAACTATTATCAATACTTTGAACAATGCTTACAGGACTATCAAGAAAATATTTATTATAAGCAAACGATATTTCAGTGCTGTTTGTTAGTACTTTCCTACCTTCATTATTTGCGAAACTTACATTATTCGGATTGTTACGCATATTGCCATTGACTAATTTTTTTAAAGTTTTCCACATATCCTTAGGATTTCCTCTATATCTCTCAATTTTGTCAAAGTAATATTGTTCTTTTTTTAATTTTAACAAATTTACGACACCATTTCTGTTGTTTAAAAATATTCTATCCAGTTAGTTTTTCATTATCATTACATTTTTTTAAATTTTTATAAGCCCTATCCCTTAATCTCATTTTATTATATACATCATAGTCAAACCAAGGCAGTTTAGACTTAAAGTGACATCATTAAATCTACTTCGTTAATTATGACTCCAAATTTTTTTAAAATATCATCATAGATCTCATCAACATTAATTGAGTTTAAATTAAAATCAACGGTTATCAGGCTACTTTTAATATCTTGTTTTTCCTCATTTAGGTTTCTTAATTTATTTATTATGTTGCTATCATTAATATTATTAATATTTTATGTATTGACCGAGATAATTGAATGATCAGTAATTTTAGGAGTATCGACGACGTCAACTAAAACAATATATTAGATACTAATTTTACGCTAGTATTAGTTATACGAGTAGGGTTTGTTGGTCTAAACCATAAAATTTTTAATTTTGTCACCATAGAACGTATTGGACAGTAGGTCCAAATTAAAATCTCCAGGAAGTATACACGAAAAATTTGTTGAGAATTAAACATCACATATTTCTTCAAAGCCATGTAAAAAATCAACATAAGAACTTGATGGTGAATGATAAAGACAACCAACTAGATAAGTAGCTGACACAAAATTAATTTTGACAACTTTACACCAATAGTTATCCGTAAATGAAAAGTTTTAAAAAAGTGAAAATTATATTTGTTTTTTACATAGATTATCACTCCTCCTGTGTGTTTGCTCATGAAGTCATAACGTACATGGTTTATAGTTTTTAAGATCAATTTCACTATCTTCAATATCAGCCGTTGTTCTGGTTTCACTTAACAGAATTACTTTAAGATTGTAACATGCTATACTTTCTTGAATTTGCTCTCTGTTCTTGTGAATTAAAGTAAATTATGTCATTATTATAGAGTATATTAGGGTTTACAGTAAGTTTTTTGCTCTTGCTTCTTAACAATTGTAGGCTTATTATTTATAAATTTATTTGTTTTGTCATTGTCGCCATTATCAATTAATTTTTGGAGTTTACCCTTAACGTGATTAAAATACTCTCCCTGTTGTTTAGTCTGATCGCTGTAAATTCAGGTAAAATACATTCTCAAAGCCATAGTCACAACAATATATGTGCGGCCGTTTCTCTTTTGACAACAACTACTCATTTGGCTAATACCTCACCAGGTATTGAATTACGTCAAAAGAAAATAGCAGAGATAGAAAATATTTTCAACACTCTAACCTTTGAT